GAAAAAATAGTTTTTTATTTTTTTGAAAATGTTTGTTTTTTTTTAAAAAATCAGGTAATATATATATATATATATATATATATATATATATTATATCTTTTTTATTTACAACTGTCCAGTAAAGGACATTCAATAAATTTGATAAATTTACAATAGTCGGCCGAAAAGGGACATTGTATACTACAAGGGCATGTTGGAAAAACAACTCAGTAGTTGTTTTTCCATTCGATATAAAATTCACAATATTTTATTGATAATTATATAATTTAACTTTTTACTTATTGAATAATTTACTATAAATAATGATTAAGTTATTTCCATTTTTTATCAGGAGAGTTGATGGCTTAAATCCAGTGGCGCTTTTCTTTTCAATCTTCTTGGATAGTTCTCTGTTATCAATGAGTTTGCTAATGAATTTGGGTAAAAATAAATGCACGTGATATTTTACTATACTCTTCCATCCCCCACGTAATATTTCGTTATTTTTTGTCAAGTCCCCCTCCCCCTAACACTCTCCTTTAATATATTAATCGTGTATTTTAATCAAAATTATCTAATGATACTTGATCTTTTAAGACTAGAAATTTTAATTTCTAACTAAGATATTGGATGAAAAATATGGGTTTATTTTACAAAATTGAAAAAAAAAACTACATTTTACTAGTTAAGATAGGCATATATTACATACATATTAAACCAGTGGTTGTCAACATTTTTGGTATTTTGAAAGCATAAAACGAAATACAATAAAAAATTCATAAATCATTGTTTAGAATTTCTTGAGCGCAAACTTTATATATCGGGTACTATTTTAATACATTCTGCGGTTCTGTACATACTTTTCTTGCAAAAATTTGTATATGCAGGAATATTATTAAAATTAAGGAAATTAAAAAGTTCTCAATTAAAATTTACAAATTCAAACCGTTTTGAAATTTAAACGTTTTTAAAAAAAGTACAAATATTATCAAAACAGACTTGAAGCCATACATGCATTCTTGTACATCAGGGTTATTTGTCATCCAGCATCCACTATCAACATCCCTATTAATCCTAATTTAATTTTTATTTAGAATAAAAATGTATATATATATATATATATATATATATATATATATATATATATATATATATATATATATCATTATTCAACTTCGTAATAAGTATCTAAACCTAATAAAAAATTGCCGAATGTGCATAGAAGTGAATGAATAATGCAATATAATCTGCGTTGAACTTAGATTAATTATAGGTATAATTACATCGTTAATGAATATTAAAAAATAAGAAATATATATAATTATAAAAAATGGTTTGCGTTACTATTTTGTATAATTAAGATATTAAAGCTACAATGTAATCGGTAAGAACAAAGTATGGAAAAGCGGAACAATAAATCTGCTGATGTCAAGAAGGTCTACAAAAAATATAAAATACTAATAGCAGCATGTGCGTTTTATGGTTTTACCATGTGACAATGTTTCAGGGAATTAAGGCATATCTTAACATGTTATTTATATCACATTTCATTTTTGAATGATATTAAAGTCCGCGAGATGATTACGGCAATCAATGGAAATAGTTTGTCATGATAATTTATCATTTCTGTTGCAAATTGTTTCTTAAATTTTACGCAAATTATTTCAAATAGAGCAAGGCTGTGCACGAAGATCTAACTTGACTTTGAGCAATTACATTTTGAAAACCAAACCAATTATATCATAACAAATAACACATATCATACAAACAACTATCTGACTACGTTAAAAGTAAGTAAAAGTAAAACTCCCACATAATTGGTCATTGTAGAAATGTAATCATTTGCCCGTTTTTCAAAAATTTGTCACCTGGTTCTTTTTACTCCATACGCTGAGCAAAATGGGACGGCCTGGAAGAGATTTTACGAAATAATAGCTACATTATTCAACCAATGCAAAATATAAATTTTAAGGGTACATTTTTGATAGTCATAACTCTGTACGTAACCTTGATCTGGTATTTTGTCATTCTCTACTTTCAAATATTGTAGTTAAAAAAATCTTAACTTGTTTTTGAAATATCGGTAGTGGACTTTTTTACTCGCGGACCTTTAATCCCCGCTCGACCCAATTTAATTTTCGTCTTTGAAATTTGGAAGATTCGCGTGCAAATGCAACTGTTTCACTTTGAGTCGCTTTTACGTTCGAGATGTCTTCGCAACCGTGACTCCGACAATTTAACATAACGATCACATGTTTCCGTAGAATTAGAATAAAAATATAATGAGTTAGAGCAATATAATTGCTGTTTCGTAGAATTTCACCGTTTTTATATGCAAATATTGTATTCGTTATTGTCTAATTGTGATATTAGTTTGCTAAATATCTTAATTGTTTTGCATTATATGCAATTATTTTTTGCATCTCCCTAGTGATTACAATTTAATTTTATGACGATTTTTATTCGACATGCATATATGTATATGCTTCTTATCTGCGTTCATCGCCGCATCAATAATTAGTATTTCTTGAATAGTAAGTTTATGTAAATCGAACATGAATTTCGTTATTATACATTTTCATTTAAAATTATCGATACAAATAATAATTATAGTACAAAACTTTGCTTTTGTAATAAATATGAACAAATATATGGCGGGTATGGTAATTTTAGCATATTCATAAACATGTTGAGCATCATAAAAAATGTAATATCATTTTTATTGTTGAAAAGACCCTTGAATGTTAAAGCAAAATTGTGCATAGTAATTTTACTAGCTCATTTTTTTTCTTATAAATTACAATCTCTCTAAATAGAAAGATATTGAGTAATTAGTTTGATAAATAACATATTAAATTTTAAAAGGAAAACCCAGTGGCTCATGTTTTATTAGTGTAATTTTTATATTTTTAATCATTTAACTATGATTGACGAATATACTCGTCATGAAGAAGTGTATATTTGTTGTGTATATTTGTGACGAGTATATGTGTCATGCGCAAAAAGCGAAGACCATTTACAATTTAAATTAACAATGTTGAAAAAAATATATATACTGATACGTTGAATAACTGTGAAAAATCGATATTTGATATTAAGTTTTTAATTTTAGTGATTCTATAATTTTCTTTGTAGATAAAGTCAAAAATCTAAAGTGATCATCGAAAAAAGAATTGGAATCATATTCGTCAACGAGTTTGCCATTATCAATCTTAAAATTCCAAAATCTGCTTTTGAAATCATAATTTTTTTATAAATTTTCCTTAACTGTGCTTTTTAAGGAGTTAGCTTTGATCGACAAGAATACACGTCATAAAGAAGTATCAGAATTTTTGTGTATCTACGACTATTTTTGCCATGCTTATAAAACATTGACCATTGGCTAATTAAATTCAATATTTGTCAGAAAATAAATTATATTGTGAAATTAAAATCATATTCGTCGTCGAGTTAGTCATTATCAATCTTAAAAATTCAAAATCTGCTTTTGAAATCATAATCTTTTTATAAATTTTTCTTAACTGTGCTTTTTAAAAGAGTTAACTTTGATTAACAATCATACACGTCATAAAGAAGTGGCATAATTTTGTGTATTTAGGAGAATATTCGACAAGTTTCTAAAATGTTGATCATTGGCTATTTAAATTAAATTTTTGACAAAAATAAAATATATTCTGAAATGTTGTTTCAAGTCGTTTAGAATATTTTGAGGCTATGATTGTATAAAATTAGGAATTGTTATGGATATTATACGTTAAGGCAAGTTGCATAAACTTCCCGAAATGTGAAAATAATATAGATAAGAATCAAAATTTATCTATTTGTATACCATTTTCTACATTTTATTTTGAAAATTATTCATTGTTTTTCATCCAGAACTATTCTAACTTTTTTATACTTAGTACATGTTCGCAGAATTATATCCTTTATTGAGTTTATCGGGCGCAACTAGTGTAACCGCCTAAAAAAATGTGTTTTTTTGGGAATTTATATTAAAAAAACTACTTTATCAATCATTTCAAAATTTTAGGAATATATTTATACATGTTGTAAGAATACATAGTGAAATTTTTGAAGAAAAAAATTAAATATTTTTTAAGTTATCGTCAATCTCAAACGGCGCGACAAAAAAAGACCCTTCACTGCTGCAGTGATTCCGGCCTTTTACGTGGACAAAATTTAAAAAAAAAATTCTTATTAAACTAGATAATATTGTCTGTAAAATGAACTACGATAAAAAAAATTGACAAAGTAACGGCGTTTTTTAAAAAAAAGTCGAATTTTACCCAAAATTTTGGTCGTTTTTGGACTGGCAAAATTCGATTTTTGCCAGTGGATAGTTCATTTTACGGAGAACTATATATAGAACATGTAAAAAAAATTTGATAGTGATCGGATCATTTGTTTTTCAGTAATCGCTGCAGCAATTTCGGAAAATGCTGTTTCGAGAAAAACGTGTTTGAAGATAAAATTATCGTTATATACTATATATATACTATTTAAATGGCTGTAACTCAAAAACTATTTAAGATATCGATTTAAAATTTTGGTATGTTATTTTTGAAGGTATAACCTATCGAAATATGGAAAAATTTAAAATTTGATTCTTTGAAATTTTCACACTAGTTGTGCCCCTTAATACGCATGCAATACATGCTTATATTAACAAAGAAGTGAAATTTAGTAATAGCAATAATTGTAAAATAAATCCAAATTACTTGGTGTTTGACGAATATATACGTCATGCTCGATTTGGACTATACATAACTGTCCGTACTGTTCGATGTGAGCGTCACAGTTAACTGGTTAATATTTCTTATGATTACGGGTTTCATAATTATATTGATGATATACAAAGACGTTGTAAAAACTATTAATCACTGTGTGGGAGATTTTTGCCTGTTTGAATGTTGATACTGATACGGATATAAACAATTCGCCTCACTTTAAGATTTGATATAGCAGAACCAAATGCAACATTGTAAATGCAAACTAATAATAGATTGTTCTCTCCTCCGCAGGCACTGTGAACGCTAACGGCGAGACGAAGAGGCAGCGCACATCTTACACGCGTTACCAGACGCTGGAATTGGAGAAAGAGTTCCACTTCAACAGGTACCTGACGCGGCGGCGACGCATCGAAATCGCGCACGCTCTGTGCCTCACCGAGAGGCAGATCAAGATCTGGTTCCAGAATCGCAGGATGAAATGGAAGAAGGAGCACAAGATGGCCAGCATGAACATAGTCCCATATCACATGAGCCCGTACGGCCATCCCTATCAATTCGACCTGCACCCCAGTCAGTTCGCGCATCTGTCCGCATAGGATCAGTGGAACTTTTCGAATAACGGATAACTCCATTGAGCCCGCCACTCGAGCCGTTCAGCGGACAGAGGCGGATTCGGACGCAATGATGAGTTATTCGTATTCGGAAACCCCAAGGCCCGGTACGATCTCGATGGCGCCGTTGGACGGGACAGGGCGACAGGCGACCCACTCTTAAGGCCATCAACAGCGCCAGCGAGGACGTACACGGGGTGCCGCGGAGCACTCGCTGCTCAAACAAATCGTACTATTATGATTATGCGATAAATCTAAATGGACAATTTATTGAGATATTAATTGATATCATATTCTGTTGAGTTTAACTATTTATAAATAGAATTATTATTAGTGAGTAGTATGTACATGTATGAAAGTTTGATTTTAATTTGTGGTATTTCTGTTGTTAAGTAAATTAATTACCCCGAAAAACAAATTCGGAAACAAACAGGGATTTTTGACAAAGTGTTTCTATGAAAATTTAATGTTCCTTACCGGGCACATTGCACATTGTGAAATAGACATATTTTACAAGTAAATCTTATATAAAATCTGTGTGTAACTATTATTAAAATTATATAGTTTTTGTTTATGTTTAGACATATAAATGACGTTGCGTGATTTTATTTCTTAAATATGACTGTGTAATATATATTATGTAAATAATTAATTTTAAATAAATAGTTTATAGAATATAATTATTTGCCAATTCAGCAATTATTGTCATCAAATGAGAGTTGTACTTCTATAAAAAAAATGACTTAAATCGGCGTGCAATCGATTCGAAATAAATTTGTTACATGTATAGCACTTAAGTTCACAGATCACTAAGAACTTCGCACAACGCTTCCTTCAAGCGTGCAAAGTAGAATAATTATCAGGTTATTGCTTAAACAATAGGGAATATGCATTTTTGATTATAGAAACTAAAATAATATGTAGAAATATTTTTATAACGTAATTATTTATAGATGTAACTTTATTGTTTAAATGTTTAGATTTTTTGTACCTAAATAATTAAATAAAAGTGAAGGAAAAAGTAAAATTTTGAGCGTTTTTATAATCAACATTCATAATGTGTAAAACGATTGATCGCATAGATTTTGACAGTTTTTACTACCATTTATATGGAGAAAAGAGCGTAACATAGCTTTGCCATAACAACGCTATGTTACGATCTATTTTATCGGAGATTTTGTCTCTTATAGTAATATTTAATTCTTTGAGAACGATAAAGAACCCAGGTACATTATTGTAAAGAAAAATTTAAATCAGACTACTGAACAAAAAACATGTCGAATTCAAATTAACCAATATCTATTTCATGCATATTCCTTATCGTAATTCAAAATTCTTAGATGATCACATGCAATTTTTGTATTCACAATAATCAACACGGCACATCCACTGATTATATCGTTTATGCATTTTACAAAAATAGTTTTATAAATATATAAATATATGTGTGTGTACACGAAATGTAAATTTCCAAACTGTAAATTTAATGTAAATTTGACTCTGTATTTAATATGAATGTGTATTAAAAATTTACAAACTACGCTAAGAATTTATTATGGTAAGAACAAAAAAATAATAATAACATAAGTTATATGTTTAGCAAAAATCATATAGAAGGAACTAAATATAAGTATGTACTCTTCATTCCATGTAAAATTGAAATTATCGAAAATATATTGAATGACTCATTGTTTAAAGCAATCCAATATTGTTTTATTTACTAAGTTCAACTGGATCATAAATATAATAAACTAAATATAATAAATATATAAATAACATAAATATAATAAACTAAACTATTGAAAAAAATTGCTGTTATTAAAGATATATAGCAAATAACACGGACTATTTCACAGAGAATCTAATGGCAATTGCCATTCATTCAAATAACAGAATTTTTTGAAGTGCTTTGAATTTTTTTTATAAATCCTGTATAAAAGAAATTTGTATTCAAAAATAGACATTTTTACAAAATAGTAGATATAACTAGAATGGCTTACTTCAAATTTTATAGTATTTTCTAAAAAAATTACTATGTATTTAATAACAAATTGATAGCAAATACATTTAGAATTGGCCATCATATCGGTGAATCATAAAACTTTAATTGAGAAGGTGTATATAGAATAAAACTTTATATTATTAGTTTCCATCGTAGTATTAGAATTGTTTAATAAATCCTGTACAAAATAAATTTGTATTGAAAACTGAATCTACTATTTTTACAAAATAGTAGATATAACTTGAATGGCTTACTTTAAATTTTGTAGTATTTTCTACAAAAATTACTATGTATTTAATAACAAATTGATAGCAAATATAATATATTGAGAATTGGCCATCATATCGGTGAATCATAAAACTTTAATTAAAAAGGTGTAAATATAGAATAAAACTTACTATTACTAGTTTCTATCGTAGATGGTGTCTTCAAACAAAAAAATTAATCATGAATTTATATAGCATCATAGATAAACAAGTATAAAATAGCATTCAATTAAGTTATAGTCCAAAAGCATAGTTTGAAATTAGTATAATATTTAATTTAACTTAATTGTTGAATCTTCATTACAACGAAGTATTTTATTAATACTTATGCTATAGAGAATATTTATATAAAATGTAGAAAATTTCAGATAAATTTTAAGTTCAGATTCGACTTTCCCACCATGAATTAATTATAACTAGAAACGACGTGAATTGAACTATGTCAAAATTTAACTTGCAAATATAAATAGAATGTAATAATGAAATTTATTAATTGAATTTAAGTAAAATATAGAAATTACAAATGGGAAAAGAATTATCTGAACAGTGTGGTTCAGTTTTGCTTCGTCGTTGAAGATGGCGCCAGGTGTTTTGAAAAAAGGTAAATATCTATACTAAGCGAATTATTTAACCCTCTGATTTAAGTAGAAAGCTTTTATATCCCTTTTATAGAATTTTCATAATTTTTTTTGTAAAACTATGAAGCTTTTACATCCCCTAAATCAACTATTAAAATATTTTCTGACAGGAAAAATGTCTTTCATCTTAATGAACAGGTGTCATTGACAATTAGTTCAATTGTTTTTATTCTTAAATTTAGATATCAATAAATAGTATTTTGGTCAAATATTAAATTAGTAATTAGAATAAATCAGAAAATTTGTGTTTTAATATTTAATATCCTTGTGCTTAATATTCGATGCTGATTTTGCGGAAAATTGCGAAGAAAATTCAATTCTACTCATAATATCGAGGTGGATTTATAATTAGCAGGTATATATAAAACTTTGGCAGGTAGTTTATTAGCAAGCCGCATAAGTGTATTTACTTCACTTTTTTTCTTTTTATTCAGCTAAACATTTCGTTTTTAATTATTTATTGCTTTATTTATTTATATAATACAAACGTAAAAAACGTAAAGATATGCAAAAAAATATTTTTGATTTTTTTGCAATTACTTTAACTTACTCTAAGGACAGTTGGTAAAATAATCTCAAAGACTAACGCATGTACTTTTAAAATTATTAACATTGACATTAAGTGTCAACTGTTCATAAAAATTGAGCAATCTTTACTTACACCTACTTGGTGTACTCTTATTTGCTCAAATGCAATGTCACTACTGCTTGACATCAGGTTGCTCGAAACAGGTATCAAACCCAGGGCATCTGATTTAGATCTCGTCGCTCTAGCCGGGTTAAGATTTAAGAATTAAAGTTCAATGAACAATTACGTGTTTGTAGGAAGACGATACTAATTATATAAGCAAATAGCCAACAAAATACCTACGCACTTTTTTCATAAACATATTACACACATCGAACAATAGGAAAATTTGAACATAATCGAATGTTATAATTTGAAGGTGGCGCCAGGTGTTTTGAAAAAAGGCAAATATCTAAACTAAGCGAATTATCTAACCAATTGATTAGTTTTTTTACAGAACTAGAAATCTTCAATATCCCTTTTATAGAATTTTCATAAATCTTTTTTACAAAACTAGAAAGCTTTTACATCCCTTAAATCAACTATATAAATGTTTACTGACAGGAAAAATTTCTTTTATCTTATATAACAGGTGTCATTGACAATTAGTTCAATTGTTTTCATTTTTAAATTTAGAGATCAACAAATAGTATTTTGGTCAAATATTAAATTAGTAATTATAATAAATCAGAAAATTTGTATTTTAATATTTAATAGGCTTGTGTTTAATATTCGATGCTGATATTTCGGAAACTTGCAAAGTAATTCAATTCTACTCATAATATCGAGGTGGATTTATAATTAACAGGTATATATATAAAACTTTTGCATGTAGTTTGTTAGCAAGCCGGATAACTGTAATTTCTTCGCTTTTTTCTTTTTATTCAGCTAAATAATTTATTTTTTAATTATTTATTGCTTTATTTATTTGTATAATACCAATCGGATTTTTGAAACACAATGTAATGTGAGCTAATATTATGCAACCATGTATACTTATCAGCATACACATATATACACACATTTATTCACATTTATGAACACACACAAGTATACCCACACATGCATATGCATGTAAACTCGTACATATTAGTATAAGTTTTATTTATTAATCATATCTGAGTTTGAGAAATCATATCTGCTACTTCCTTATGTTTTATGAATATGATTACTAATAAATAGATAGGGTAAAGCGGGGCTTAAAAAGATCGGCAGGTAACAAGGTTCACCACCGATATCTCAAAAACAAGTAAAAATAGAAATTTTTAACAACAATATTTGGAAGTAGAGGGAAAACGACGTCTAATCAACAGTCGCCTTGAATCGAGCAACGTCGCTATCAGGAAATTAGTTTAAAATTAAATTAATACTAGTTTTTATATTAGTTTCTCTCAGTATATCAGCATTTTTATCTTTAGCTCTTCAAATTTCTATTAACATTTTAAAATACTGCATTTAATAACAATTTAAAATATGGTATAGCAGGGTCTTAAAGGTCTGCGGATAGAAAG